AGCGCCGGGCCGTGGCGGGGCTGCAGGTTTGAGAGGTCACCGGGCCCAGGCGGAGGAGCCGCCCCGTTGGGGCCTGTGGGGAGCCGGGCTGGTTTCGGGGTGGTGACGGGTCGCGGAGCCACGCCGTGGAAACTGCTGAAGGAAGCTGGAGCCAGCCACATGCTAAGCAGTAAATCCTGCTCTCCGCAATAGGTTTGAGTGACACCAGGTCCGGGATCTGCCGCGGTTTAAATTGTAAACTTGGAGGCAGGGCTGGATTTTCAGTACTGAGTAAAGAGCATCCAGCGCAGCTGGCCCCATCCTTGTCCTTCACTCGGACATCCTGGTGATAGATCATAGTAAATAATAGTAATAAATACATTCCCAGCAGAGAAGTTCCTGCACCTGTCAGCTCAAGTCCGTTTTAATCATGTTCACAACATGCCTATTTGTACCCCATCACACGCTTTTGTGTTTGCTTCCAGTAGCTGATCAAGTAACACACAATCATTGAATCTGTATCATGACTTGGAATACAGCTGTTATTCTAGTCATTTTGTAGAAGGAGGGATTTTTTTTTTTCCCCCTCCATCTGGTAAAATAAAAGCACTTCTTCAAACGTAATATGTATTCTCACTGCTTTCTAAACCTAAGTAAAAAATTATTTAGTAAAAGATTGTCTTTAAAGGGATATTAGACAAGAAATTTGTAGCAAAACTGTTTCTGTAGAAGCCTGATTTCAAATGAGTCTTTACCTTGCCTACGGCCCTCAGAATTGGTAGACCTGAAATGGCCCATTCACTTTCCTTTGCAGACGGAGTTTTGATTTTTCCAAGTTCATTTCATTGCTAGTCTGTATAAGCGAACTCAGAATCAGGAGAGAAACTCATGTCACTGTTACACAAAATTCCCTACAGCAATGAGGGTCATGTCGTTATTGCATCTATTCATCCTCATTAACCAAACGTTAGTCATATTATCTATCATCCATCTTCTCAGACACCTGAGTGTTAGGGGGCCTGCAGCATTCCTACAAGTCTTCTACCCCCACTCCACTTTATTGTCCTAATTTGCTTTTAAACTAACCATGTTTCACTTCTAAGGCTAATACTCATTATTCTGTTCTGTGTATTTTCAATACACAGAATCAAAAGCTTCTTCTTTCCTGTAACAATATCCTCTGCCTTTTTTTATCTCCTCACTGTGGAGTGCAACTATGTTTATAGACACGTAGGTGAGTACCTGCCTCCTAACTCCTGAAGCCTCGAAGTCGAGCAATTGGAAATCTTTGGTTTTTTACGTAAACATGACCAGCATTTTTTGCTTCATTCTGTGATTCCCCCTCAAATCAGTTTTTCCTGCTGCTAGGACCTTTGTTGACATTTTTTTATGCCAGTGACTGTGCTGTGTTTCTGCTTGGTATTTATAAAAAACCACTGAGACATCTCGGTGTATCGTCTTTGGGGAAAGGACCGCAGCAAGAAGCCCAATTCTTAGAGCAGCACTGTCGCTGAAAAGGATGAAGGCCACCTGCACAAAGCAGGGCTTTCTTTCCAAGCAACTGTGCAAGGCTGTAGAAGAGACTTCCCGAGAAGGTTCCTTCACACCTGAGACAGATGGGTCTGGTTCGGAGGGAAACTGTGCCTTGCAGGTGGAGGAGGAAGCCTTCTTCACGGAGCTTTCCAGATGAGGAGAATCGGCCCATCTCTGGGAACCTCAGCCAAATATACACCATGTGACCAATGATTTCCTACAGCGCTCCACCAGGAATTAAAGAACTTCCATCTTCCACGTGCAGGATGCACTCCTTTCATCAAGCTTTTTGCTGCACACACATTCAGATTTTAAAACAGATGAAAAAGTCCAATCAATTTCCTACCACTGAGAAAAAAATCACAACTGATGTATGTAATGATGTAGTGCAGAGAAATGCAGAGACCTTGAGAAACGGAGTACAGGCGTGGGATGAGGAGAGATGGGGCACATCCCTGGTGCTGGAGACCCCATAGCTACAAAAGAGTCACCATCAGTTAAAGACTCGCAGACCTAGTGCTGGACAAAAACAGTATTCATGGGTAGCAAAGACAACTGAAACCAAGTACCTAACATATGTAAAACACCATATATATTGAATTTAGAAGTAACATGGAACTGCAAATCCATGAAGAAAAAGCAAGGTGTAAAAGTGTGCTAAACGTATAAAAATTACCCCAAATTGATCCTAGAGTGAGGGAGAAGAAAACATCAACACTGTATTCTTCCGGGCCCATGACTCCAGATGCGCTGACTTGCCTTAACAGCTCCTCACACACACCAGCACGAGACCACCGACCATCAGGCCCAGGGGAGCAGTGGAAATGTGAGCGTTGCACAGGTGAAAAGGGGTAAAAATAGTAACAGTTTATATAATAATTTTAACTGCATTATTACTATTATTATTACTTAAACTTTTTCGGCATAGAAGTATTCTTTCTTTTCCCATAATAGTCAGACCTGGGTTAATAATGGTTCTTAGATTAGGCTAAGATATCAATTACACTAAAAATGAATTTTTGGCTTTAAATACAAGTTGTGTTTCCTCTTCGCCCATAAACAAGGTTTTCGATGTAACAGCAGTGACACTAAGTCTGAATGATGAGCCACAGAGTTCCTGGGTGATAAGACCTGGTGGGAAGCTGGGGAAAAAACAGCCTGGGTTTCTTCATGGTTATAATTGTTCTTTAAAGCGGTATGAAATAGTTGGTATTATTCCACTTGGTAGTGGGCTCGTAAGAATGTAACAGAGCTAATTAATATACTACACGTTGTATGATAATGAAATGTATACAGTAATTTATAGGATAAACAGCATCTTGATTTTTTTCCTCTAGCTATGCCATATTCTAGCTATACGATGCCAGTATCCGTGAGGAATGAAGCCAGGTGCGAGGCACGAAGCACAGACCTCATTCTGGTCACGTGTTGCAGGGCAGCCATGGAGGCCGTCAGGCTTTTGCAGTTCTTACATTTGGAAAACCCACCGCAGAGGGTCCTGTGCCAACCCCACCACGCCTCGGTGAGGAGAACGCACGACTGCCAAGAAGCGAGGAGTTTTGCCTAGGGTGTTGTTATTTTTTGGTGGCTGCTGAAATGTTCTTTTCAGTTCTGCATGTCTGGCCGGGAGCTAAACCAGCCCTGAAGGTGCGCTGAGTGCTTACAGAGCTTCACCTTCCACACAGCTGTCCTGAGAATGGCCCAAATGAACTACAGAGCCAGATCCACCACCTTGTGATGATTTCTTATGTGGCATATTCTGGTTTTCCACTCTGTGACATTGAGATTGTTGGTGTAATTTGCTTCAACATGTACTTTTTTTTTCTTTGCACTTTAAGTAGAATCCTAAATCATGCTGACATGGGAGACAAATGAGAATAATTCTAATTATCTCTGGGGTTTCAAAGTGGAAAATTAAATTGCAGTGGTAAATATTTGACTTCAGCACTTGCCTCTGGACCCTTTCACCCACTCTATTTTGAAGATTAACCTATGCTTCATATTTTCACTTCTCTCATTTGATGAGGTACTCAGTATCTTCAATTCAAAGAAAATCTTTGGCAAACATAAATGGAACTCTTTGCTGGCTTAATTAGTTCAGCATATTAGCCTGTAATTCCAACAATTAATTCTAGTTCCATCATTATTCTTTTTAAAAATCTTTCTTCTTGGATTTCACTGAAAATGGATTTTGGAAACAAATGACTATCCCTTTTACATTGTGTCTCAATTGAACAATAACTTAAATTCCCTGCCTCTTTCATTCAAGGATCTGAAAATGTTTTCCAAATGTTGATGCAGAAAACTTCAAATCCCTCACTGATGAGGGGATTATTGTTATCTTCAGATAAAGAAACTGAGGCACAGTGAGGCTAATAGGATTATTTTGTTGGACTGAAGTCATCAAAAAACTGGATAAATACTTAGGCCAAACAAAAAATGAGCATGCGTTGGAGCTGTAGTGGAATTTAAAAAACAGTCACATACAATTGAATAAATCTGTGTGAAATTACTAATTTCCACATCATAAAATTAATTTAACCAGAAATAATTTCAGGTTGCTATATATTTGTAGGCATGAGACAAATCCTGTGAATGCCTTGAATATACAACTCTCTATCAAGGCAGCAATATAACTTAAAACTATATTGAAACAGTATTTGAAAAACAAAGTATTCTAAAACCCATTCAGAGCTGTCAATGTTAAGCTCCCTGTTCAGTATCAATTTGAGCCCTAGCACATTCTTGATGATGCAGTTATTAATTACAGGACCAGAAGCTGGTTTTGTTCTCAGGACACTTACTTCATTCAGTTCACAGAACAGACAATACCAAAGGAATTAAAAAAACCCCCAAACCTCTTTTTACTATTCTTTAGTTCCCTGTAGGATCCTTCTTGTCGCTTACCCAGGGGATGCACTGAAGCTAAAATGTCATTCATTTCAGAATCCTTTCAATCTGTCCCCACAGTGTGCGCACTCTCTCTCCTGCCTTGCCCCGTCCTAGAACTTATCAGATAGGGAAACACTATCCATTCCTTTCACAGATGTGGAATGGAGAAATAGTTCAGTTAAAATTTGAGAAGAACTGGTAAACATGCCAGTGGTTGAAAGCTGCCAAGGCGGTAAGTAGTCCTTTGGCTGTGTTGTACGGGGCAGATCATGGAGCAGACCATATAGCAGGAGGGCCCTCCGTTACAATTCAGACTCTGAAATCAAAGAAGGTGCCTTTCGCCCCTTCCTTTTTAATTTTGGAGACAGCGATGCAGACAAGTATTCTATAGAAACTTAATGGAGCGTGGTGTTGACACAAATTTATTCAAGTCTCACATATTGAAAGATTTAGTCTGCATTCAATGGGAAGGAAAAACCCACCCAAACTACTATAATACATAAAACAAGAAGCAATTTACTTTGCAATTAGCTTTATGCTTTCTTTTTCTGTGCAATTACTGCAGACGTTCAGATATGAGCTTTCTTCCTGTCGTTGTTTACCCCCAGCTGGCAACTAAGCACCACACAGCCACTTGCTCACTCCCCACCAACAGGATGGGGGAGAGAACCAGAAGGGTAAAAGTGAGAAAACTCGTGGGTTGAGATAAAGACAGTTTAATAAGCAAAGCAAAAGCTGCGCACGCAAGCAAAGCAAACCAAGGAATTCATTCACTAATTCCCATCAGCAGGCAGGTGTTCAGATATCTCTAGGAAAGCAGGGCTCCATCACGCATAATGGTTACTTGGGAAGACAAACGCCATCACTTTGAATGTCCCCCCCTTCCTTCTTCTTCCCCCAGCTTTATATGCTGAGCATGACGTCACATGGTACGGGATATCCCTTTGGTCAGCTGGGGTCAGCTGTCCCGGCTGTGTCCCCTCCCAACTTCTTGTGCACCCCCAGCCTCCTCACTGGTGGGGTGGGGTGAGAGGCAGGAAAGGCCTTGACTCTGTGTGAGCGCTGCTCAGCAGTAACGAAAACATCCCTGTGTTATCAACACTGTTCTCAGCACAAATCCAAAACACAGCCCCATCCTAGCTGCTATGAAGGAAATTAACTCCCAGCCAAAACCAGCACAGATGTGTTTTTCTTTAACAAAAGATAGAAAAGTCTGAAATGCTAGTTTCCAAATAGAGTGTAAAAGAACAAACTCAGTAATGATTTTAGGCAAAAAAAAAATCTCAACCTCAAAAATAAACTCACTTTTCATAACTGCCAAAGCAATTTAAAAATTGCTGATGAGAATAGAACTTCAGGGGAAAAAAACAGTATCTATTAGCAGGTGCTAGAAGGCTACAAGCCCATTTAACTTTTCTAAACAGTAAGAAATTATTGAAAAGCTAGAAAACCCCCAACAAACTCACTTAATTACAGATGATTGAATAAATCAAATTTTTAATCCTCCTATTAAGAAATTGCTTTTAATACATTTAATTCCTAAAAATGTATTTGAATTTTAAAAACTGTTAATTTTTAAATAATTAGAAATAAGCTAAAAATGAACATCATAAAACACATTAGGAGCCAAATCCTGGCGGGATTAATGAGGTTGTTTCATTAACATTAGAACTTAAGTCTAAATCTATAGCACTCAGCAACTGATTAAGTTACTGCAAAAATATAATTTAGTGAAACAGAGAAATGATCCAATTGAAAAGACTTTCTTCAGTTATTATACAACCATTGGCAGGATCAAACATGTCTTCCAAACTTGCTATTGATTGCAAAGTAACATCAAATGGGATCTGAAAAAACAGGGAAAAAATACCAAATAAATAACTTTATAAAGCTTATAGGTACCAAAAAGTACATCTATACAAATTAAATTAAAGCCAGACTTCTGACCCACATCCAATGAATAAGTTAGAAATACTCATTGCCTCAATATAAATTTGTGGTTAGTGACATCTTTTGCAAGAAACTAGTAAAACAGGATTAAGGGGAAGAAATTTCTGTGAACAGTCTTGCTCACAGAGTTTATCCTGATCATCCGTAGGTAAAATGAAGATATAAGACAAAAGCAGCAAGAACGATTAGTAATTTGGAAGGCTTTTCCCAAGATGAGTCGAAAGAATTGAGCTAACTGTAAAAGGTGAAACAGAGGGCAATGATAAACTGGTTTGTATGTCCATTGGACATAGAGAACTATTAAGCTGATTTAGATATTAAGAAAAACTAACTAGAGGAAGAGAAGCTTGGAACAGGCTACCTAGGGAGGTTAATTTTTAATGCAATTATTTTATTTATTAATTTACTATTAAGATTGGAACTCCCAAACACTATGCTCTACTATCTCCCTCGAGAACATAGTTATTCATTAAATAGCTTTAAAAATGAGCCAGCTGATCAATTTTTATTGTTAAAACATGAACAGTCAAATAATTTTGAATGAATAATTCAATAAGAATGCACTTTTCCCACTTAGAAAGATAATTCAGTGCTGAATCAAAAGCACCGTAAGACACATGAACAGAAAAAAGAGGATCAAAGAAGAGAAGCTGGAAACATGATAGGAGTTAAAGTGTGACAGCTTGGAGAATGAGAAAACAAATACCACAAATTAGCCACGAGCAACAAAAAAGTGTGTGGTGGGGAAAAATTATGCAAAACTACATATAAGCAATGTATCTGCTGCTTTCTCCTGCATGCTTGAAAACAAAGGGAATGTACTAGCCTGTGGTATACATCATCCCACTCTGAGCTTTACACCTCTAGCCAAGAAGACTGGGTAATGCACACGTACAACTTATCCGAAAGTTTGGAAATACTGCTTAGAAGTATGCTATATATAATGAAGTGCTGAGCACTCTACAACTTCTGTTGGCTTCAGAGAAGAATGAAGATACTCAGCATCTTGAAGGATTGGGCTTCACTTGCTCAACCAGATCTGCCATATCTAATAGGATCTTAGTTTGAAGTCTGTCTCTGAAACTTTGTGATGAAAAGCCCATTGTTCCACCTGTTGAAACATTTTAGCTTGTTGTGGCATTTAGCCAGAATAAAACAGAGCAGTTAAGCAGGCAATGTGAAGAGGGGTTCACGAGAATTCCAAGAAAGCTCAGCTGTACCGTTCCCTAGGTATCTGTCAAATCTCTCTACCATGGAAGATACTTCAGTGGGACTGTGAGAGGTATAGCTTTGCAGAATGAATGTCTATGTGTTTTGATGCATTGATAAAGCCAGATTGAGCGATACGAAGGTCTGGGAGTCATCTGAGAGACACCTACAGGACAGATAACAAGGGCTGGCAAGATTGGTGCAATATGTATAAAAGGGAAGTATGTACTCCTGGGTACCAGACTGCAGGACGCACAGGACAGCGTTACAGATTCTCTCTTCTATAATAGGCCACTGGCCAAACTGTTCCCAGACAGAACTTGGGATTCTCCTCTCACAGGAAGAGCCACTTGACTGGAAAAGAAGAGTACAGTGGATGCCTTATCTATTATCATTCCATTATGAACAATTACAGACAAGATATTTGAGGATTAGTGGGGGGGTTGATATGTTACAGTGGATTCCAGAATCTTCCTTGGAGTTCCTTGAGCCCTGGCAGCTGTGGTCCTCTCCTGATCCCCCTAGGGTGGCTGAGAACCCTGAATGGTATTGCTGACTGCTATGGGCCAGTTCCTGTAGCCTCCTCTGGGATACTGGCTACAACTGGGTAACAAGATGAATACAACAGCATGGACAAAAAAATGGCCTGCTTTCTCTGAGGACATGTCATGGGCAAGGCAGAGAAAGCTGAAGAAATAGAAGGAAAGCCTGAATAGCTGTGAAAACACAGGGATGGAAGGAAACTGCATTTGGCAGTTGCATCATGGAAATTCACTGGAGTCTGTGTAAACAATGACCAGAGAATGGTGAACAAACCAGATGAATCCGTTGTGAGTGAGATTCATTTTTAATACATTTTTTTATGTATAAAAAGGTGATTCTAATGAACAATGAAGACATTCACAGTTTGTAATCATGCATATTTGTATTTTATTTGTAAAAATGAAAAAATAAAACCCAAACAGCCCAACAATGTATGAGAAAAAAAATGGGAAGATACTTAGTGGTATAATCCATGTTTCAGTTTAACTGAACAATTGTTTTATTTTAGAAAACAGATTTTTACTATTAATGAGAATAGCATACCTCAGTTAATGGCAAGGACAGGGCTGGAACAACAGACAGCAGTGCTTTGACTTCAGATAAACACCTCTTAGCCATTTCCTAATGGTATAAAACACAAAAAAAACTAATGCTGTACTATCAGTCTCCTCTGATAAGCTAACAGATGGCTTGGCTTTACAAAATTTTTCAGAACAATCAAGTTTTAGGTTGTTCTACTTGAATTCACAGCCATATTAACCTTAGCTGATGAATATAAATTTTCAGCAACACAAATAGTTGTGTTTGCTGTACAAACACAAGTGCCTAAACCTTGGAGTTTCTACTGAGGCAAAACTGCCCCTGGCACAGGTATTTAATCCAGTGAGCAAGCATACTTTTGCTACGTGTTTACTGAAGACATTCTAAACAAACACTCTGACAAGATGATATTTATATATGTATAATGCATGGCATGTTAATCTTAGTATTCTAAACATTGTTTTTCCAGTTACTGACATATATTAATGAAAGTTTGAGCAAAACCTTTCAGGTAATCAGAAACACCCACTAAAGGACAGCTTTGTCTACCCTCCTGAAAGCACTGTGATTGGCCAAAGCATCATTTGTTCTCCAAGCTGGTCAAAATACAGCCATGTAATAAAGGCATAGTGCACAATTGTCACTGTTTCACAGCATCCATCAGACAAAATGACAGCCTCTACATCATTAATCATTTCATATAATAGATATAAAGAGAATCCTGTCACATGATAAATGTCTCCCACTTTGAAAATAAACATTTATTTTGCCTTGGCATTTATCAAGCAGCAGTTATGCTGTGGCAACATTCTATTCCAATGACATTATCTCAAACAGACCACATGGAAAATTCTGAAATTACCTCTTTTGTGTGTGTATGTGGGGGGAGTTATTTGGTTGTGGACCATATTCAGCCTTGCTAATAAAAAGAGGAGGGTTGTGCAGGGCAAATGAAAATAAATTCACTGCCAGTTTTAGTCCTCTCTCAATAACGTTATTAGAAGTTTCTTATTTCAGAAACCATCACTGCCCATTTTGCATTGAAGATGTTTAACTGATTTTTAAAAAGCACTTTTGGGTTGATCACCATGCTAATTTAACACTATGCCAAGCATTTTCAGATGTAGATTACTATAAATTAGGCATCAATTTTCAAATCTGTGTACCTGAAGATGTATCCTTTATTTTCAAGTGGAAGGTTGAAGATGCCTGGTATTTTTGTAAAGTGACAACCAATATATAAGGAAAAGAAAAAGTTAAATATTAAATGAAAAGTGAAAATACTTCAACATTTCTTGAAAGGGGTGAGGAAAGTTTAATCTTTTGTGTCTGCCTTCCAAGTTACCTGTCATTTATTTCCCCAAAACAGACATCTTAAATAAAAGACTGTCAGACATATTTAAGAGCAGAACTGTTCTCACTTACTTCTGTTTTTTCATCAAGATGCACTTTTGCAACATTCATTTGGGGTTTTTTTGAAGGAATTATTTTCAAGGTTTCACTTTGTTCAAGAAAACTTGTAGGTTCGGAAGCTGAAGACAAGCTTTTAGAACTTTGCATCAACATTTCAGCTTGCTGCTTCAGATTAGATAATTTCTCCCGTAAAGACATAATTCTGAAAGAACACAAGATTTTTCATTGTTGATGATATAAAAGAACAATATTTATTGTTTCCATGTTATAATTAAACTGACCTATCCTTTATTACATATTGATTAGATTCTACATTTTCTTTCATTTCAAGACTGATCTCATAATTTTACAAAAAGTTTTCCATTAAAGAAAGTGGAAATATGGAAAGCATTAGCTTTTTGCATTAAAAATGGTAAGAAGAAGTATTTTAAGTAAGCCTCTCTAAGAAAAGATTTTCTCATCCAACCAGCATGAGACAAGCTGGGTGGCAGGGATTGCAACTCTTCTTGGCCTGTTATTCGTTCCCCTCCACCTGCTCAGCAGTTCTAAAAATTCTGAGGCTAGATGGATGACAAGAAAGAAGTAATGAAAAACACCATAGGATCTAAAATGAAGGGCTGAGTCTGAGGCTACAACTGAGAAAAATTCTTGCATGCTCAGAGTTGTAATATGGGATGGAGAAAGTAGCTGATCCAGTGAGAGAATGGGAATAACTGCTGGGACTGCTTCTTAGATTTGCTAGCGTTTTCTTACGTTGCTATGCCGGTGTAATATAATTAGCATGTGTTATTCAATTCTTTAAGAATCAAAACTAAAATGCTATTGTACTGAAAATGCATATGTTTGGATGGGTTTAATGCTGTGTACATCATCTTGCCATTTTTATAGTGAAAAATCTCTGAAAAGCAAAAATTCGTGCTTTTAAAGACTTACAGCTCTTTGATACTTTGTACTATATTTTCTCTCATCCTAAATGGTTGACTGATCTTTAATATAGCATGAAATAACAGGATAAAGTCAGTGATTATTTACCTAGCCAACGGAATCCATAAGTGGCCTGAAAACACAGACATTGAACTGAAAATCTTGATGTTGCTAACCTTGACAGGCTTTGTATTATAAGCATAAAGCAGCAAAACCTGTAAGAAAGATGGAATAGGTAAGCTGTAATGCAGTATGGTATAGTACACCTGAGCTATTTCAGTGATACTAGATTATAAGAACTGTCAAATACAATGTACTGCTGAAGACTTAGATAACTGACTTTCAAAAAAGGGGGGAGTGTGGCCTCATGTGAATTTGTACTATATTCAGTTTTTAAAGGTGTTAAAGGAATTTAATTATGGATATAATTCATATAGGTTTGAAAATTAATTATACCCTATAAAGGCACCGTCAAAATCCCAGTCTTGTCCTGATCCTGGTCAATCAATCCCATTTACACTCATGTCTGAAGTTCCAACTTCAGGTAGGCTGAACAGAGAGCTTTTACTGAATTTCCAAAGGCCCTATGTAATTAGTTACATTTGCTATATGGCCTTGTGCATGGCTGTCATCATAGTAGTTTTAAATCCACAAAGTGCACATAACTCACCAGTCTAATAAAGCTGTATCAATATAAGAGCACAAGAAAATGAAATAGAATGTTCTCATCTTTCACTGACTTAATTTGCTGTTATGAGTGAAAATATGCTTCCTAGTGGTAGCTGAATATTTTGACTATATGGAGAATGTCAAGAATATGGCATTTATATATTAATTGTTTTCAAGAGCTGTCTTTGGATCTCTAATGACCTGTAAGATCATGCTAAAGTAACCTGCAAAACTGTATTGAAAAGTACATTATTTGCACTAACTTCACAGGGCTCCTATCAGCTTACTAATAGAGATGAAAAGGGTCTAGTAGAAATTTTGACACTGATCTATTATGCCAAAAAGTTTGGAGGGCATGGATTTCTATTGCAGTGGCGGAAATTTTATCTACATGCTGTTCCCTTGTTTAAAAGTAAAACAAATTCCATGTCCTAGTCTCTTGCCTTCCTGCAACCCTCCAATCTCTCTCATCTTTCATGTTTAATCTGATTTCTTAGGGAAATGAGGTTTACAAAATCCCATTTTCCATGTATATGTGTATCTTTGCTTTTCTGGCAGCCTCTCACCAAACAGTATTTTCTGAATGTGTTGGTCCGCTCTAATCAAACTTAATAGAGTGGAGGTCTTAAAGACATCAAGGACCTGCAAAAGGCATGAATACAACATGGCCTGGAAGCTCTGTATGGTCAACGACGTCTTTCTCTGGCCTGCCACCAAAAAACTGTCAGGGCATTTTGTTTGTCCTGCATAGCAGGTTTGTGGCAGAGTAAATATATAGCTCCTTGCTGTCCAGCTTGCCAGTCAGCATATGTATAACTCAGTTAAAAAGCTGATCAGTCATGACACAAATATTCATTGGAAATGAGACTTAATTTGTTCCAATACCTAAGGAACTGCTTTGGTGTAATTATACCTTAGTCTCTGTATAGTTTGATGGCTTTGCCAGAGAAGGAATGTACCACTGAATGTTAATTTCCTTATTTGAAGCATTTGCTGCCCTACTCTCTGTCTGACTGTCTGCTTCTGCGATGACAGGAAATGGAGAAGATATTCTCACGCATGACATCTTTGGTGTAATTCCAGTAATTTCAAGAGACATCTGAAACACAAAAGAAAATTTTAAATTGTATTTTTTCTAGTGTAACATGCAAAATCTGTTATAAGCTAGTGTCTACTAGAATTGGCATGACTTTCACTCCTGCACAAATATATGCTTAAATAAGCATAAATGGGTAATTTTAAAAGGTGTCCATCTTGCCAAGTTAAGGCTTTTCAAAGTTCACATGATGAGACATTTCTCAAGATAACGCAGAGGACCTCTGGGCTGACTTAGAGACACCTACAGCAACAATGATTCCTTATGTTGTTATGGTTTTTGCTAAAAGATATTATTTGACATGTTGACCATACAAAATTTAGTGCTGAAAAAGTAGTTTGTCTGCTATACATATTGATAATTAAAATAGTAATCTGATTGCTAGACTAATACTTTATTTATGTTTACCTATTTGTTTTCTTATTAGCTGTGCAACTAACAAAGGGTGATACCTACTGAAAATTCAGTCACTTACTTTGTGAGGATTTGTCATATGTCATATTTACTAAAATATAAATGGAACATTAGCGGACTATTCATCACATAGTTACAGTTTGACTGTCATTTACCAGGGAAGCAATGGAAGAATACTGTCAACCAACATTCATTTATGAATGAAAGCCTTTCTTAAAATTGTAAAATATTTTATTTAAAGGCTGAACAGTGCCATACCATTTCTACTTTTTTAAAGTTTTACACAGATCTGCAAAGTACAGAGGAGGCCAAACAGTGACATTCTGGGGGAATGCTGAAGCTATTTGAAAAGGTTGTTAGTGTCTCCATCATTGATTCCAAAATGTGGACACTGGAAACAGCTGCCTGGATAGTTAATTCTTTTTTAATTTTGAATGTTCATCACTGAAAAAACCTGGAGAATTTTATCCACTTTATTTTCAGAAAATACAGCTCATGACCAATACAGGGCAGTAAATCCAGGTGAGCAGAAGATCGATTTTTCACAGTGACATAATCTTACTTCATAAAGCCAGTTCCCGTCCTGCATCAAAATATAGTAGAAGTGAAGATAAAGTCATGCATGCTGAAGTCATGCATTTGAGTGTATGGATATGCCTTCAGTATGGCATGGGACAATTAACTGGGGATGATCCATGCCACATAGACTCTAAACACTGAGGCAGTGACAACAGTGGCCATGACCCATGGTATGCCATGAGGTGGGCATGGATCACCCACCTACTACAAGGATCTTCTGCATTTGGGATCTTAGACTGTAATTTTGGCAGTGAATCACCCACTGTCCTGCTAGCATGGAGAGTGAACAAAATTATGAGAAAACACATGGAGGTGGGAACAATCTAATTTATGCTGTGCCCCTGAACTAGAGCTCTTAAAAGTCCATTTTACAATATGTTTTTCTTTCTAAAATGTGTGGTATGTGTTCTTTTTCACTGAACTGCATCTTTTGTTATTTACATCATATGGAATCTTTTTGAGGAAGGACATTACAACTGCTCTTGTCAGACTGGAGGGTTGCTGAATTACATACATAAATATTTATTTATTCAACTTTCTCAAAAGCCTGAAAACAACAAACTGTCTTAGTTAAGTGTTTCCAATCCTACATACTATCATGGAGTGGAATAAAAAACAAGCATGCAAAATGGAACAGGGCACACAATTTTAATTATAGCCTTCTTAATGTAATTTGGGTGCTTTGTTCAGCAGAGCTGAAAAAAACTTCAAGAGTCAAAAATAGAATTACAAAGACACATGTAAGCAAAACGACCTTGTACATAAAAGTCATTCCTTCAAAATTATATCTATTTGTACTGTTAAAAATCCCAGTATCAAATTACAGTAACATTTTTTAAAATAACTTGTACAGCCTTCTGAACCGTTAAAGCTTCTAAAAATGTTGTGATAAAAATCAATGAAGCTTAGAATTAAAAAAAGTAAGAGCTTTATGCTTGTTAGCTGTCTACAACAGTGAAGCTAACACATGATTATGCAGCTTGCACCTGTCACGAACATGACAGTGAGCTCTGAAGCTTATTATTCTAGGACAGTGTAATACTAATTATGTCAAAAGAAGAGCAGACAGAGTAAAATAATTTTTGATATACGATGGCTGTTATAAATGTCACATACCATATATTTACAATTTATTCAGTGGCACAGTCAGCTCTTTGTTGGGAAATGAGTAATGATATGCTGTCCAACACTGCAGAAAGTTCACCAACTCTAGAAGAGCTACTTTCACAAAAGTATTTTAATTCATTTTTATAAGATAACAAGTTCTCACTCCTCAAGGCTCCCCTGTCTCCATCTAATACTGAACATAACTGGTGAAAAATAAACCATAGAGAGTAACCTGTCATTTTAATTTTTTTGGTATTAGGATAATTATTAATGTGAGAAGTGGGATGGAGAAACTTTGAAGACAATTATTTTTACATTGAATCTTCAAAGACTTTTGCTACTCAATATTCAATATATATGCCATGGTCAGCATAGACTCCAGAATTCCAGTTCAAGATTTCTCTGAGTAATACAGTCTGAGCTGCCTACATTTGAAAGCTCAAACACGCTGTTTGCAAGCCAGAGATCTGAAAGGATTGATTTTCTAGCCAGCTGATAATCAGTGAAAAAAACTGGCACACAAGGCCATCAACAAATTTTGAGGAAATATAAATTATATATTTTTTGAACATCATGTTTTTATTATAGACCAAATTATCAATATAAAGGCTTGTACATACAAATTACAAAGCAAACATCAGGACATTTTTGGTATGAAACAATGGATCTACAGGATTACAAGCCTCAGTCCTACCAAATAACACAGCCAACTGAATTAACTAATAATGAAATCTTCTTAAATATCATTCTGCTTAATCTTCTAGCATCTAAATACACTGGGTATGGGATAGAGATCATTTTTGCAGGAATTAATAACACAAGGTTATTTGCATTTGTTAACTATGTCCTTCACTGCTTGGACAGGATTTTGGTTTTGCACTGATCTTCTGCATAATTAATTAATACTTCTATAGTGCTCTCAGAAATATCACCATTGGAACTAGCAAGAATCTGAGCAAAATGCAAGCATAATAAATATTTTTGAAACATCAGAAAGAAAATAAGTACCTTTGAAGAATCAGCTGGCCTACCAAGTGGCAATTCTACATCACGTAGCTCTTCTGGGAAATTCTCAAGACAACATATTGAATATTCAAACAAATGTTTTTTAAGAAAGGAATGCATTTCTGCTATGCGTAGAACAATCCCTGTGTCAAAAACAGAACTGAAGTGTCCATCTCTTGCAGAAAATGACCCAGGTCCTGAGTTAGGGGCAGCTTTGAAAAGAGATTTTTATTACATCATCATTTGCCATTAAAAAGTAAAGTTTCTATGGCTACTCAATATTCATAAATTTTGAAAATGTAGTAAAATATGTAAATTGATTCAATATCCAATAAATGCATTTCCAACAATTATATTGATTGTCCTTAAATATTACTAGATTATGCTATTCGTATTCCAATTTTTCGCTGGAGATCTGATAATGAAATAAGCTCTGTCTAGACATTATAAAGTAGCATAAAATGGGAGGTGCACTTTTGAGGTTTAGGTACTTAAATTTAGACATATAAGCATCAGTATGTACACTAGATGTCTAAGCACCCACTAGAATAAACATTTACTTATTCAATACAGTCAAAAGAAGCTCTAAGAGCTCTTAAGACTCTAATTTAGACAGCTAGTGGCTGATCAGCTGAGTTGCTACCTAGGCTCCATCATTGGTAACTACAGCTGAGATACACCTGCGCATTTTGACACCTAATTGTAGATACCTTACTGTCCTTATAGTTCTGTGGTGAGGAAGAATACTTTCCTTTCATTTGGTGCTGCAAGGAAAAAACCCAACCCTCTCTGAAATTATTATTTTCAGAGTTGCTAGGTTTCTCTCTAGGCAGCACCTATATGTACACTCTAGTTCTACTCTCACCTATCAGGTTGTCACTTGTATATCCAGCAGCTGGCCATCAGATGTAGATGCATAGTATTAGGGCCCTGAAATTAATGGATTTTTACTCTGTTTGAAAGGTCCTATCTATTACCATCTTTTGTTTACAGTGAAATAAACCAAGTATGTACATAACAGCTGGGGGTTTAGTCAAAACACATTCAATAATGTTCAGCTTTCCCATTTATACTACACTCAATTCTCATAAACAGGCCCCCAAAGTGAACAGATTTATTTCTGATGTGACTTAAGTCTGATGTATCTAGAACTAAAAATAAATATAGATTATGAATTTTAAAAAAAATGCTTCAGGTATAGTAATAGCAATTAAGTTTTGAGGGATGCTTTTCCTGGTGTTATGAAGGCTTATGAATAATTATGAGAAAAGGTAATAATATCTTCACTTACTTGTAAACTGACATAAATCTTGATTTCAGTGAAGATTTTTTCACATTTATACAATTTAAAGGAACTCAAAATGAGACTAACTTAGAAGATGGCCTTAGAATCTGACACCGTTGACCCCCAAGAACAATATCTCACCTATGGCAGTTTTCTAGAAGGAAGAAAAAATTCATACCAAATAGAAGGTTTGTGTTACAAAGTCTTTTTAAATAACTGTGGTAACGAATTAAGTGAACCCATGTTATTGTCTCTTTCTTCGGGCTGGCCTTGGTGGCAAGACTTTCTGTTCCTTCACTTTGGCTCTGCTTCTCTTGTATGGTTTGTTTGTTTTCAGTAGAAGATGCTGTGGGACTTTCGGAGACAACATTGAATCCATCTGCAAATCCAATAACAGTTCAACAATACGCATTAAATGAATGGTTGCAATTCAAAAGCTATTTCTGCATTGTGTTGGAATTGACTAATCTGTAACTAAAAATATAACTTGTGAACCTGGGTATGGTTTTCATAAGAGGAAAATTCTTTCTATTCTGTTTTAATATTAGTTGAATTAGTAAGGAAACTATTTCTCGATCATGGCCAGGAAACTGACTGGTCCTTGCAAGAAGGTAAAAGGGGTAGAGAGCAAGGTGCTCGCTCTCTCTCTGAATTTAAATATAAAACCATTATTTCTATACATTGTTCAATAGCAGATATTAGTAAGTGAAAACAATATTAGGAGTCATCAGTCATAATTACAGCAGTTGAACTTCCCAGTTATATTGACCTGAACACAGAAGAGTTAGGTACTCTGAAATGTTTCCTGTTAGCTTCAATCAAGTCCCTTTTAGATATTAAGCACATTATCAATGAAATGTGTACTTCACCATGGACTAAAAAAATCTCTTTTTTTGGTGCTGCCTAAAAACCATACTTATGCAAAAAGAGGAAAAACAATATCAGTACAGTTATCACTATATCACTGCTTATGTTCTTTTTTTTTCTTCACTGTATTAGTACATGGCTCTCCCAAAAGCCTACAGAATTCTTCTGCTCTGTTTCTCATTCCAAACTGAACAAACATTATGTTACGGTAATTCCTAACAGTAAACTTCCAGAAAATAATTATGTGTGCTTCTACAAAATCTCAATGTCTCCATTATTCCTGATATATCACTGTCAGTTGTAAAAACAGAATTTAGTTAAAATGGTGTTGTGATTTAACCTGGCAGGCAGCTAAACACCACACAACCGTTCGCTCACTCTCCCCCCTCCCCAGTGGGATGGGGGAGAGAATCGGAAAAAAAAAGTAAAATCCGTGGGTTGAGATAGAGACAGTTTAATAGGAGAGAAAAGGAAGGTTAAAAAAAAAAAAAAAAAAAAAAAAAAAAAGGATTACAAAATAAATTTGCTCCCAACTGATGCACAATGCAATTGCTCACCACCTGCTGACTGATACCCAGCCAGTCCCCGAGCAGTGATCACTGCCCTCTGGCCAGCTCCCCCCAGTTTGTATACTGAGCATGACATCATATGGTATGGAATAGCCCTTTGGTCAGTTTGGATCAACTGTCCTGTCTGTGCCCCCTCCCAGCTTCTTGTGCACCTGGCAGAGCATGGGAAGCTGAAAAGTCCTTGACCAATGTAACCACTGCTTAGCAACAACTCAAACATCAGTGTGTTATCCATGTTATTCTCCAACTAAATCCAAAACACAGCACTATGCCAGCTACTAGGAAGAAAATTAACGCTATCCCAGACAAAACCAGGACAAATGGTCGCATTGTTTATAGATGAAACTTAAACAATGGTTTTACAGAAAATATTTTATATATTTTGGCCTACTATTGCTTTTCTACATTTTCTATTCTTCTTTGTATTGCCTAACAGAACTATCAGGAGAAACACCTGCTGCATTTGTTAAAAGGAAAAATTATCCATAATTATAAGCAAATGGAGCTAGTACAAAACAATCAGATTGATGGAAGGCCTTAGCATACAACACTTGTTTTCATAAACCAATCAAAACACATATGTTTAAACACTGTACAGTAAGTAGACATTGCTCAGCTTTGCCAGCAACTATCAGGCAGAGCAATTCAATCATTGTCCATCACTTGGGATGATTGAAATTAGGCCACTGAACCAAAATTTTATCACTAAATTAATGGTTCCCAGTTTAAAAACAAATACAGATATTTTGCCTTAGTGTTTACATAATATCTGGCAACCATTATCCCAGAATTCCTAGTTTCACTGATTTTTTTTTAAATCAAAAACGTCCATTTCATCAACTCCATTAGCTGTAAAATAAATGCAGAAGTTGGAAATAAACCAGGCAAAGGCAAAGTTCTACCAAGCTAATGGAAGCATCTCTATGGACGGGAAAGACAGTGAATTTTTTTTTATTATACTGACTTTCACTTTTCGAATACAGTACCCAGGCAGATAACTTTGCAAGAATTTGCATTTGTTGTTTTTGGTGTT